GCAGCTTCCTCACCAAAGCTCCTCTCTCACCTGTGTGCAACCTTTGACCTCTCTACTTAGTACAGTTCTGCCAGATTCTTCTCATTTCTCCCATCATGCATCCTGTCCAGATGCCTGGTGAGTGCAGAGAGAGAGGATGCCCAATAAGATAATCTACTTAGAAACCAAACTGTCATCTCAATATCTCCATGCGTTTGTTCATCAGGTCACATGGTCATCCCCTCCTTCACTGCGCACACTTCACCCAACTAATCGCTTGCACTTGCTCAATTTGTACTCCCACAGAAACCATGGATTCAGGGTGTTATTTTTTTTAAATATTATATTTATGTATATACATTTTTTATGGCGATCTGTGCAGAGTACGTCTGGACATCCCGAAGTCAAAACGGGTCAAAGGGTAGCGGACAAGTAGAGGAAGACGACCGTCGTGCCAAACATAGCGATACCGAGTGACAGCAGCATCAGGAAGACGAGACGCTGCAGCAGTACCACAGGCTCAGACATGATATTTCTATTTACAGCAGCACTTCTCCAGCACACTGTTGCTATGAGGTAACCATAGAAATGGGCTCTGCCATCCAGAATGAAGGCAGAGCTCATAACTGTGTATCACCATGACAGTCAGCGCATCATTAATAAGACAATAACTTTAACTAGTTAGTCACATTCTTAGTGTGACTACGTAACTTCTTCTGACTCTGATGAACAGATCGTGAATGAACTTGTTCTGTTTGATATTCTCTTGCCTGTCCTGCATATGACTCAGTGGACTCGATGCATTAAGCTGGGCAGACACTGGGCGGTTTTTTCAGTCACGTATTCAGCTTCTGCTCGAACTGCACGTTGTTAGGTCACGATGCAGGTCGCACACTATACAGCCCGATGCTCTGATGCGACCCGAGTGCTCACACTGTGCGTCCATAACATGAAGGTTATAACAGAAATTCTGTCGCTCGCTCTCCCTCTTCGTCTTTCACTCACACAGACACACCACCACCATCAACTTTGCTAAATTGCTAATGAAAAACATGATCAGGCAGCTGTGATTGAGCAGCATGTAGATCCAACTATTGTCACGGTTGTTGTGTCGTGATAATTTTGTGAGGCCACATGGAAAAGGCTCGGATGAGCTTTCCAAAGTTCTACAAGTTGTGCCTCCATCGCTTGTGTCCAGATCACACGCTGCACTGCCGTGCTGCGCCGTCCTTTTCGCTGATATTTGTGTTTGGGCGTGCGCAGTGTGAGAAGCTGCGGTGACACCCTCACGACGGTCGTGAGGATTTCAAACCTCGACCAAGCGATTGATGATCGGGAGCTGGTCGTGAGGTCTTAATCGCTTCTCGTTACGCCGCGTATACTACACGACGCACGATGAAGGCCAAAATCGGGCCGATCGCCAAAACGGTCGCACGACTCAAAAAGCGGCTCAAAATCGCACAGTGTGAGCCCAGCTTTAAATCCAATCCAATCCAATCCAATTTTATTTATAAAGCACTTTAAAATACCCAGCACAGGAACAAAGTGCTGTACAGAAAGTAAGTTAAATAGCAAATTAAATAAATAAATCACATAAGACATAAAATTAAAATTAAAATTAAAACAGCCCTATGTTAAAACAAAACAAGATAAAAC